CTCTCCCTTACCTGATATCCATCTTATGCTATGGTTGTGCCAATTTTCTTGTCCAAATTTTGAAAAGTTTCGGCTCATGTCGGACTATTATGAGACCAAAACCATCACATGTTGCACCGCTACAACAATGTTTGCATGGTATTACAGCGTGGGACAATTTGTAAATGTGGTAATATTTGAAGTAGGCACAAATGCTTTGTTTTCGTAGGGATATTGTTCTTTGGAATCAAAGTCCACGAGCAGGAAATACTCGATGTGATGTGTGATGTGATGTGATGCGGACTAAAAAAAACATCTATTCAGCATGCTGATAAACATGCTGGTATGTGATGAATTGAAATATCACGTTTGGCATTGCTACTGAATCTTTATTTGTGTTCACGCTTACAAATCTCTTTCCAGCTGACGTGTGCCTGGCTTTCAATGTTGGTTTATGGTACCCACATACCCTCGTCAAGCAATGCCCTAGATCCCTCGTTTTGGTTAGTTCGTTCATGATTACCAGTCCCTGGTCACTGAATCACATGGGTTATTTTGCAAACAACAGGTTTTGGTTCTCGGGCCTCACGTATTGTTTCCAAACCCGACATGCGATCTTAAGTTCCAATTAGTTCGCCACAAACGCAACACTCTCATTTCTGGATTCGATAGATCACTCACAAACCGTTTGATTCCGACTCCTGTTCGTCACTGGCTCATTCATCAACACTAACTCGGGCTGCTTTTTGACAACATTCTGCCATTGAAATGATGCCAGAGATCAAAGACATCTTACATATATGTTTTAATGATTGCATGTGCACGCTGCATAACGTAAGCTCATCAAGAGAAAACGTAATGGTTCCTAGCAATGCTCCCAGGTGAGATCCTAGCTCTCGTCATTGCCTTTGAGTTTATGCTGCATTTTGGCCGTTGCTGGATCCTGATTATGTTTCCAGGCTGGCTCCGGGTTCTTGCAGAATCTCTGGCCATATCATTGGCCGAACATTTGGGCTTAATGGATCTTGCGGCACATTGCAAGCTGGCTCCTGGCTCTTGCTGGACCCCTCTGCATACTTCATGCATATTTTGAATTTTTGTTGGATCTGTTGAGTCGCAACAACAGCCGTGTGATCAGCGAGTAGACAGCAATACGACCAGAAGGTTAGCGAGCAGACCGGTCGGCAGCTCGATCGCTGGTCACTCTTGCTTGCGCCGATACCAAAGGGACACCGCTTGGGAATCGAAGAGCAGCTCCTGCAGGCCGTCGGCGGTGGGCAACGACAGGAGCAGGGCCGCGTCCCTGGGTAGGATTTCTCGCCGCGTGGGGTGAGCCGGACGGTCACGTCTTCCGGCCCTCAACCAGCGTCAGGAACATCAAGCCTGGAGGGCGACCCTCTGTGATGCATGGGCACCCGTAGCTCGGCTCGTCGCCGCCGACGGGCGTGGCCGCTCCGGGATTGTAATGCCATTGACGAGTGGATCGACGCCCATCTGTGGGCGCAAAGCCCGGCGGGCCGGGGTTAGCAGCAGGCCACCCCGTGTTACACGGGCCGTTACTCGCGCCCGGTGAACAGCTTTATCGATTTGTCATATTCAGCATAGTGAAAATGATACAATACTGTTAAGATAGCTTGAGTGGCGTCTAGTCGTATTTCATATTCCACCATGTCCTATCTAAAACTCATCTAAAACCCATCCAAAATTATGCTTGACACCAGGCAGTACACAGATCATTGTCACACTGATATTACCTCTCTTATTCCCTTAGATAATATGCAGGAAACATTGCATTGTTTAACTCAAACCTGAGTCAGCACTTATAAGCAGACGTTAACAAATACTCGATACTTACATCTACTTTGGTATCTTAACGCAAACCTTACCTCAAATTGTTTTTATTTGCGCGGTCATAAAACAGCATCGCATCGCTGCGTCGGATAAGCCGTCAAAATACAATAGACACTTCAAATAAAAACTGAACAGCATGGAGAGCGACCGCTGGGTTCCATCAATCCTTGGCAATGTCATCTTTCAGGCTATCCGAAACTTTACGTTTTAATCAGTTAGGTAGCCCTTAAAACGCCGGTATTTTGCGCACTACCAACCGAGGTAAAGAACAGCGTAAGCAAGAGCTTTTTCCTTGATGGCGCGGGGTTAATCACGATAACAACCGGGGCTTCACGGGGTTTAAAGCTGTGACGACACCAAATCCTCTGACCAATCACAGGCTTAGATTGATGTCCGAATTCGCGGCAGAGGTTTAGAAACAGTGGCACTTTTTTGTAATGCCTAAGATACCGGAGCGCACCTCCCTGAGCGGAACCAAGGGAGGGGCTGGAGCTCTGGGATCCCTCCTCAGGCGCAGACTTTCGTTTTTCACCATGTGGATGGCTCCCGACAGAGCGTTAAACAACTGGTGTGATGCACGTGTGTAAGTTGCTATTCAGTCGGAGCTTCAGCCCCCCCCCCCCCCTCCAGACTCACTCACACTTTGAGGAGAAAGTGAGCCAAATCTGGGTAGACACTAGTTTGTTAGCGTATTTTGGGAGTAGGTTGGCTTATTTTCCACTATTCAGTCCCCCCTCAACTCATTTTACGAAACTACGCTCTTGGTGTGGTGCACGCGCACTGAGTTCCGGGCCCTTCAGTAAAGAAAATCTGCCCCCTGTTTAGGGGCATAAAATGATGCATACGATAACCAGAAGCCATGGAAGAGCAGCAGGGACATCATCCCCATCTCTAAATGTTATGGCTGATGTCCTGTTTGCATACCTCTGCAAGTAATTTAATATGGGTGCTGTCGATCCATTGGTATAAGATATATCTGGCCACAACCATCAGGATGATGATAATTATTGTCATATGTTCATTCCGAATCGTTATACACATATGGCTTAATGCTTGATTCGGGACAGGGGGCTGTATGTTACATGACAAAAACGATGATGCAGCCATGATGAAAACACACCAAGAACATAAGAAATACGCACAGCGGCAAACACCATCCTCGATGTCACATCATCGAAATTGCAACGTGAACGCCGTACGACTCATGGGGACCACAACGGCTGGCGGCCGACCGGCTCCAGGACGAGGCCTCATGATATGGCAGTGCCCTGTGCGACTGTGACAACGACTGACTGTGCGACAGCTACTGTGTGACAACGACAACGACTGTGCGCGACATGGAAGTCGGAAATGTCATTTGGCGAATGCCTTTTTGTCGACTGCTGAGTGGCTACTGTACGTCATTTCGGCATTTCACAATTCTTCGATGTCGCCATTTTGCAGTTCGTCATTTTGCCGGTTCAACTTTTTGACAAGTCAGTTTTTTACATGTCACCAATATGGAACTCGTCATAAAGCAGTTCGGAAAAAGGCATTCGGCAAACTGCGCATAGATTTGCTGCCCGAACACCGGGTGAGACTGGATGAGACAGCATGAGAACGGCAGGGAACGGGCAGGATCGTACAGGACCAGACCACACCAGGAAGGATCGTGCGGGACCAGATCACACCAAGAAGGACCGGATGGGAACGGACGAGATGGGACCGGATCGGCTGGAACCGAAAATAGACAAATATAGAAAAATCGGGCGAGATCAAATGGAGCCTGATGGAACCGGACCGGACAGAAGCGGACGGCACGAGATGGAGTTGGACGGAATCGAATGAGATCTGATCGCTGTTTTCTTCCATACTCACACTTATTGTTTAGGTTCCAAGATTTGCACAATATTTTGACGCCCATTTACGTTTATACTGGACCACCCCATATCCAATGCGGTGTATATTTACAAGCCTGCCGTGTTCACCACAGCATGGTATATTTAACTACTTCGTCTTGCTTAACGTTAAGGCTTACATGAGCCAAAAGGCCAAATAAAGCCTAGTCCAAGAAGGCCATGTCCAGAACTTACACGGTGTCGAGGGTCCTCAGCTTACCGTTTGCTTTTGGTTCGAAGATTTGGGTCCACGTCAACTGAGCTAGAAATGGAGGAGCTGCAGCCCACCCTCTGGTTCTCGTCTAACTGGAAACAGTAGACCCCTGTGTTCGACATTATGAGTTCTGAGTTCTTGTGCTGAGCAATCGAGCCTCAATATACCAAGAGGTACGGTTAAACGATGCGATACAGCAAACAGTGATTGTGTTGTCGGTACTCGGCGTTTCAAGCAGTGCTTATGATCACGAGTGTCATCAAGGGCGCTCACTTGTACGTCATGGGCTGACAACACAGTGATTGTGTTGTCGGCACTCGGCGTTTCAAGCAGTGCTTGTGATCACGAGTGTTATCAAGAGCGCTCACTTGTACGTCATGGGCTGACAACACAGTGATTGTGTTGTCGGTACTCGGCGTTTCAAGCAGTGCTTATGATCACGGGTGTCATCTAGAGCGCTCACTTGTACGTCATGGGCTGACAACACAGTGATTATGTTGTCGGTACTCGGCGTTTCAAGCAGTGCTTATGGTCACGAGTGTCATCAAGAGCGCTCACTTGTACGTCATGGGCAAGCCTGTCGGCTTTTGTCCCCTCGAGTTTTTTGTCACTTGACTTTTTCTTTTTGGGTTTTCTTTCAGTCTAATTTGATCCCTGTTGACGTTTTGCCCCTGCACAACTTTCAGTTTTATTTCGATTTCTATCCCTGTTGAGATTTACTCTGTCGTCTTTTTGCTGCCGGACCCTTCCGCTCGCCTTTTTACATTGAAGTTTTTCCATTTTTTGGGTTTTGTTAGGACACCCGAAAATTTTCCCCTAACCTCGTAATGGCCGACCATGTTGCGACATCCCGCACTCCGCAGCCCACCAGGCAGCCCTGACCTTCCATCACGCGCCCGACCTTCCCCCACGCGCCCGAGTACCCGCTGTCCGCCCCGCCGCGCCTCCACACGTGCGGCGGAGGCGCGAGCGGATGGGGGAGCGGGGAGGGGGAGGGGAGGCACAGGCCGGGTCCTCTTCCGCCCAGCTGTCGGCGCCGCCGCCGCCGCCGCCCGTGTCACTGGCCTCAAATAGTCGCACCCGCCGCCCAAATAGCGCAGTCGGAGGGGGGAGACGCCCGAGGAGCGGGACGGGACGCACGGCTGCCGGCAGGAACACAGGAGGTGAGCGGCCGCATCCGCCGAACTGCTGGCCGAGTAGTTGGTGCCTGGCGAAAGCTGGACTCGCTAGCACGCGGCTTCTTGTTTTGTCATGTCATGACATGTCGTGACACATTTCAAAAGTTTCAACGGAAGGATTGAGATCATAAGAGAGAAATATTGAAATAAAGAGACAGTCTGAACAATCATTCCACATAAGGCAAAACCTGTGAAAAGTTGGGTCCTTTTAGTTTGAAGCTTGGTCATTGTTCGTTTTTGTTGTGCCAGTACAGCCACTTGATATTAAAGACGGAGGCATAAAATCATGTTTTGCAAGATTGAGCAGACGCTATCTAGCACCTAAAGAAACGTCCAGGGCTTCTTTCGATTTTCGCTTGAAACTCATGCATGCATTTACTGTTGAAGTTTGACTGAGAGCGAGTTCGACTTCTGGAGGACTCCAGTGAACATATATGGTGTTTTTGTTGGTTTTTGCAAACAGGTTTCACTTGATTCTTTGTACTGGATTTGGCTTTGGCTGATCCCGCTCTCTTCGAGAACCTGCAGCTGGTGACTTGGTGTTTTACAACAATTGGCCGACTACCTTGCACTGGTTTTCGACTATTACCAAGCTCATGTTCGGTGACAACTACAAACCCCAAAGCAGCCTTTTGGCGATGTTCACGGCTCGGATCTGTATTCATAGACGTCAAAGCACTGAAATCAGCGACGGCCTCGTGCATATATCAACCTATTCGTACACGGGTCGACAAGCTCTTGACATCTTGGGCGATGATGGGGCTCAAACTATTGCAACGCTCTTACACCGACACACACCATGTAAAACCTAGGCCGCTGAAGCGGCAGCCCTTGTTCACGAGGACCGACTGTCCCCTCACTGGCAATGAAACGATGCTTCGATAAACGTCCGAATGAAAGAATGAATGAATGCTAAGAATGCTCCAAGAGACCTTCAGCGCCTCTGTGCTGACGCCTCCTCCGTCCCCAAGCGCTACTGAGCGCCGCGCCCAGCCTCTGTGCTGACGCCTCCTCCGTCTCCAAGCACTACTGAGCGCCACGCCCAGCCTCTGTGCTGACGCCTCCTCCGTCCCCAGACGGTACTGAGCGCCACGCCCAGCCTCGTCAAGTCGTCGGCTCTGGCCAGCACGATGAGGATCATCACGGCTGTCGCTCTCTGTGTCCTGGGCTCGGGTATGCTGGCACGCGCCATTAACGGCGAAGCGATTTGCTCCAGTCGGCCCTGCTCGCATTATTATCTCAATGACGCACGTGCCTTGATGTTCACATTGATACGTCCGGGACTTAAACGTGCTTAAATGATGTAGTCTGGACTCGTACTCCTCAGCGCTGCCATATCGCATACACCGCGCAATCCGGACGACGAGCGTGTGGCTCACAAACTACGGCCGAGCGGCGGCCGCGTTGTTGACACCTCTCCCAGGGTTGTGCACCTCCTGCAGTGGTGACCTGCGGGCCGTTTCAGCCTCTGTGTGGGGTCAGACCGAGGAGTGTCCCCCAGAAGAGGTCACGGCCGGCTGCCGTATCTCGAACGGCAACTGCGTCTGCGCACAGGAGTGTAACACCATGTTCCCGTACCGGGACGAATCGGCGTGTCAGGAGGCTATCCAAGGTCAGTTGGGACGAAACCGGCACTACTCGTGATGCGCACGTACACTTTTTTATAACAGAGCGGCGCAGGTAGAAGCATAATGACATAGAGCACACGTTAGAACAGCAAGGCACAAGCAGAATGTTATAGCTGCGTCCGTTTTGTGCCTCAGGCAAATGACCTAGAATTCGTCAGATTAGTTTGCATTGGTGGAATAATGTGATCCGAAATGAAAGTGATACAGTTTGCAGGGTAAACACAACAAGAACGACTAAAAATACATTTCCTGAATCGTCATTTAACGCACACTTTCTTGCCAGCGTGACAACGATTTTTCATGCCGTGCAAGGCTGCACTACACGATCATCCAATATCTACTTCGGCTTCCTTTTACGATTCACGAGCTAACTTCGTCTTCGTCTTCGTCTTCGTCTCCTGAAAGCGGTCGTTCTGGTAACCGAAACCAGCGCGTCAAGCGTTCCTTCGCCGCGGAGTGCCCGGTGCTTCCCCACGGCCGCGTGCACGGCCGCTCAATGCACTGACACGAGCGTCCCGACTGTGCACCCAGCGCGGTCCAGCGACCCGTGCCGGCCGAGCCCGTGCGAGAGGGGCTTCTGCGTACAGACTGCCTCCCACCCGGGCTTCAAGTGCTATTGCTTCGGCACAGGCTACTACGGGGAACGCTGCGAGAACAGTAAGTGCTGTCACAAGGGAACAGTTGCGACAGAATGACGTGCCAAAGGTATGATTACCAATCCGATATTTTTGTATTTTGTATTTTGCGCCATGTAATAGCACGTGCATGACATTGACTGAAAGATGAAATGCATGCTGGTGAGATATTTACGCGCTAAGTAACTGATGTCTCACATTCATTTTGAAACGTATGGATGCGTGTGCATACATCAATCTACAAGCGCCATTAAGGCGTGCGTGCATCTGCGCATCTCGGTTCTCTGGCTCTCAGTGAACGTCGCTACATAGGGCCTTTCTGGCTGGCCATACGCTCAGGAGTACGCCTGGCCTAGGTCCCCACCCCCGCCCGCAGACTGCGGGGCCATCCGGCGGCGGCGGTGGAACGACCTGACGTTCCCGCTGTCGTGCGTCGGCGTGTGACACTGCCCGCGGAGCTCGCCAGTGGCGCGGCCGCCCTCAGCCGCCGTCGCCGCCGCCGCTGGCCGCTGGACTGGTCACCGTCTCCAGCTACACTGCCTTCGAGGCGCCGCGCCGCCGCAGCCGCTGTGCCGCCGGCCGTCCCCGTTTCGATAGCGGCCTGCTACCGTGCGCCAAGGTCGTGACGACCGAGCGGGCCAACCGTCTGTTTTGTCGGGAACCACCCACATGCCAGAGCCGATCATACAGTTGCTGTCATACAGTCACGAAGCACGGCCATACAGTTACTGGGTTAATGCAGCGCTGTTCACTCGACGCTGGCCGGTCCCTGTCCTGGTTTGCGGTAACGGCCCCGAGATTTGTCAATTCGGCTGCGTTGTGTGGTGCACGCTTCCGGTAGCTTGACCGGCGGCCAATTTCGTGTCTCGATATCATGTTAGGAAGAGGCTTGTGGTGGGCTTGAAGGAATAGGAAAAGCGTGGTACAAAGAACGCGAAGCTGGTAGTTGTGTGACAAACGTTTGATATCTTTAATACATGCCAATGTTCTTGTACGTGAGCATGCGCCTTTCACTTCTTTTCGCGCACGCATGGCTTATCACTGGTCAGGTGGTCAGGTCAGGTATGGCAATGGTCAGGAGGAAAGTGGCATAGCCCTGGTGTCATTTGGTGGTACATACTCGTATCGCACTCTGGGAAATGGATCCTTTCATTTTTTGGTTAAATCACTGTAATATTTATCACACCTGAGCTGTCACTCATGCCAAGGTGGCAAGGCAACTTGAGCCTCAACACCAAAGAATCCCGGGCATGATGTTCTGTCAAAGTTGCCAGTTGAGCCATCATCGCTCTCACAACTATCAGTTATTCGCTAAGGGCCGGTGAAGTTCATTTTGCCGCGCGTTTCCGTGCCTCAGTTTTTCACGATTTCAGAGCACTCCCTGTGTTCAAAGAAAAAAAACAACAACCTATGCGTTGACCACACTGTCAGGTTTGACTACGACACTCATCCGTCGCCGCACACAGCCAGCACATCAGCCGTCTCCGCACCGTACCAGGAAACGCTGCAGCGGCGGCGCGTCTGGATCGCCTCACGTGCTGTGACGTCACATGTGTTTCAGCGCGGCGGCTGTCCTAATAACAGACGCCGGTTGCGCCGGCCGTTTTTGCACGTTGCTTATCGGTCGCGATGCAGGCCGAGTGCGGATTTCAGGCGATGGAAGCGGACAAAAACGGCCCAACTGGGTCACAGCTGGCCCCGCGGCTTCGCTCTTCTGCGTGCAAGAAAGTAGAAACAGACGCCAGCTGCCGACAGGCGGTCGCCAGCGTCTGCGCGATGCTTGGAAACGGCGCAGGACGCTGATAGAGGGTACGCGTGCTGTCTCTTGACCCGTGCTTTTCTGAGGAGTTTAAGCAACTGTCGAGGAAAGTATGCGTGCCTAAAGGGAGTATTTCACATTTATATGGGATTTTAAAACAAAATAGTCATCTTGAAGATCATTTGGTGCAGATCACAGTCCTTCCTTCTTAAGACCTAAATCTCTCTAGTGTAGCACACTTCCGCGAAGAGGTGCAGACTATTCCGGGCGACTATTTTAAGGTCACGCAGCATCCATAACGCCAAAATAACATTCAAAAGCTGATGTCATTCCATCAGCTATGTGGCCATTAACGCCAATAAAAATATAATTGCCAAGTGGTTACTTTCTGGCGCTCGTGAGCGCAAGTTCCAGACTTAACGGCCGTCAATTGGCTCTCGATCAAGGTTGTGCAAGGTCGCTGACGCAATCAAACGGTGACGTATTGAGGAGAAGATTTACTAAAGAGAGAAGTTGTGGTGTCTAGAGCAGCCTTTCCACCAAAAAGTAAGCCGATGGTTATAAAATAACTTTTTTCATCATGCTCATTCTTACTTCAATATCTTCAAGTGTGGGACATACCCTTAAACTGGTGCGCACAGGAGTGGAAGCGTCCGCTCTAGGTATGCGTCGCAATGATTGCATGCCATCATTTTCCGTGTGCGCCATTATGGCGCGCTTATGTAGGTGCCACGTGAGGAGACAAGGAGACAAGCTTTTTTGAAGACCAAATTCGAGCTGAAGGTTTGTTAAAACTCCGGACATTGACATTTTTGACCTGCCTGCGGACATCGACATATTACTGACAGAGTTTGCTAAAACTACTTCATACTCCCTGCGAAACCGCTGCTTCATTTGCGACCCACGCATATTGTCCAGCATCGCGCGTAATAATTCAGTCCAATAACGACCATTTTCTGACAAAACATGCTGAGGCTGAAATCCAGGGAGGTACGAACACTAAATCTCTTTTAAAGCTCAAAGTCGTCCGCATAGCACAGGACCATCCCGATAGGAAAATACGAGAATCTCTTCCCATAGGAAGCTGACGACCAGATCGCAATGTGTAGGGCTCATCATGACCGATGATGCGAATGCGATTCGTGTCTCGATGTCTGATGCATGTTAGCTTAAAATCGTCTTCCATGTATGAGTGATGCCTGACGCGTGATACGTGATATCTGTTTAATTAAATTTGGCTGCATGTTCATGCATTTTTTTGTATTTTAATTCTTAGTTGGACGTGTGCTGTATCGCAGTAATTGGCTGGCGATTTCTTCTTGCTGAGTCCCCCGAATGTTGCAAGTTGTTCAGTTCATTTGCGAGGAGCATGATGCATATAGCTGGGACAGTATGAATAACCTTATTTCCCGTAGAATAAGCCGAAGAATGGAAGATAGTTGTGATAGTTCGCCTACATGCCTTTATCGAAACAAATATCAGTAGTAAATTCAAAATTACCTGTCGATCCGACTCGACTTTTCCTTTTTTCTTAACAGCGAGTCAATTTTTATAGGTTACCAACGTTCAGGCGGATTAAACAAGGAGTACTTGCAAGTCATTTCTATAATACAGGGTACATCTGACTTAGACTTCAAATACGCGAAAAATACGTGTACATGCAAACGAATTCCAATTAACAGGTGGCATCACGCTAATACATCATTCATGCATGCAAGTGACTTCAAGAAACTAACTGCAAGGTAAACAGGCATCACGCATCACGTGTCACTTATATCCATGCAAACGAATTCAATAAACAGGCATCGAACATCACGCGTCAGGCATCGTTCATACATGAAAACGATTCTAAAGGGGATGTTCCACATTGGAAGCTATTGAGGTGAGCATCAGATATGGTGGGAAAAACTTACTTGCAAAACTTGGTAAACTTTCAAGGCTTAAAAGCGACCCTAAGTGGCAAAATATTAGAGTTTGTAAAATTTACTCCATTACGTCATCGCTTGATGGCATCATGAAATCAATTTGTGACGACGGCATCACCCGACAGCATCTGGCAGCCAGACCTAAAGAATGGCTCCAAATGCACGAAAGCTGACGCCAGCCGGCCATTCTCGTCGCGGGCGCTGTGTCGGTTGGCGGGTTAGTGAATGGCTTGTTCGTGGATTTTTTGCCTTAGTACTGGTCGTAGGAAAAGCTTTGGTGGGCTGTTTGACAAGCGCAACGTACCGATCGCCAGCTTTTATGGCAGATTATTCACATCAAAGCACGATATGCTGTGAAAACTGTCGTATAATGTCATGAATCTCTTACCGAATCCTGTCAAGAACTGTTAAGGATGTCAATACTGTATTGTAGACCCATCCTTGCCTGCAGTGCTGTAGTCCTGACATTGATATCTTATGATGTGCACGGTCGTTACTTTCTTTAATGTTTATAGTTAGAAATGCAGTCACATGCAAAGATTAACAATACATCTATAACATTGCTATGAATTGATTACCAAAGTATTGCCATTGCTATGGTGAAGATGATAAGGTTGAGCTACCAAAAATGTTTTTCTTGCTCAGGACTATGCATGCATTCGCTGGTTAACGCTGATATAATCACGTGGTACAGCGGCAATCTCATGAGTGATAGCCCTTTGTCAGTGTTAACTTGTTTGTTGCCAGTCATTCATAAATCATAAACTGTTATCTTATAGGCTTGAAATACAGTAGTCAACAAATGTCGTGCATGGTGTAATGGCACAGCTCAACAGCGTCATCGTGGCACCACCTCATTGCTGTTCTGTGGCATGGCATAATGGACAATGACACAGTTTGTTGTACTGCAGTCCCTGCTACTTTCATAGTAAATTTCATGATGAGAACATGAATCGAGCGTGCATTGTTATATTAACGCCGCGTCTGACGTATGACTGACCAGAAGAACACGTGACACAGTATACAAATTACCTTCAAAAAAGCGCACAACAATGACATCACTTGCTCGGCCTATTTTGGGAATCCACAAAATGTCGGTGACAAAGACGTAAACATGTCTTCTGCTTCCACAGCCATGCAACATGCCGCAGCCATCAGGATGCTTCACTCAAAAGTATTGTTCACACAAGTAATAGCACGCGTATAACAGCAAAATATTGCATGTAGTGAAATGGCACTGCAAACCTGCTGACTGCACAAGGCTGGAGATAGGACAGGTGCATGTAGTTATGATTAGATGGGCGAAATGAAGGGAAGTGACGAAACTGCCAGTGCACACAAGGCCCACGATAAAGATATTGTTTAAGTGCCATCCAAGAAAGCAACAACAATACTTTTCCATCTTTCCCAGCACCCAGCAACTCACACAAGTTGCAGTGATTATGACATAAACCACTTACGAGCAATGCTTGCCTGCCTACAAAATTTGTTGAGACAGTAGTATGTGCATCCATAAAAATGCAACTCTATATGTTTAGAATAATTAACGGAAAAGCAACTCTACAAACCCGCATCATGCAAGCTTATACCAAGCATATGCATTGATGAGCCTCACGGAGCTGCCGCTACTGCCAAAGTGAATTGCTAATATAACGGCATGCATGGAATTAATCACATGCCTTACTACCTCAATAGGTTCAAAATGTTGGCAAAATCGTAATGAAGTGGCAAGGTGTCTTTGTACACCCCTGCAGTATAGAAAGTGCTAGTGTTTCTTTCGGTTTGCTGGCATCACTACCTTGTCATGTTCAAACAAAAACACAAGGAAAGAGGCGGATATCGATATATCACATTCTATTGGGAGTCATCAAACTGAAAGAATACCAAAACAATGCTCCCTTTCAGAAGTGCAAAGCTCGCACGCACACTCCCCATCACTTTAAGATCAATACAAGCCACTGGCACGCACCACCAGTGACCATACCCATTGGAAGCGTCCGATGCACACACTTATGTCAAATTAGTGTGATCCCGCACTTGCACAGCCCGCGGAACTATCAAACTGCAAGTTTTCTCACAATTTCGGCACAGGTTTTCGGTTATAACGCCGCATTTCACCGTCAGCTACCTCCAAAACATGGTCTCAGCGGGGGTTCGTGACAATGCAACTCAATATATTATACTTGTAGGACACACATGGGAGGACCCAATTTTGTGTTCAATATTTTAAGTTGTCATTCAGTGTGTCGTGGATATGTAGTAATATATATATATATATATATATATATATATATATATATATATATATATTGCTC